AATGAGGATCTGAAGAGTGCTGACACTATTAATTTATTGAATAGGCAATTTAAAATCTGCCCACAAAGAAAATGCTAAGCCAAAGTGGCTTTACAGGTTAGTTCTACTGAACATTCAAAGGACAGATCATTCTCATCTTCTGAAAATTGTTCCAGGGATTACCTGCTCACGAGACTGGTTCTGCAAAATTCCCTTAATCAAGTGTCTGTTGCTGTGATAAAATACTTGAGACTGGATAATTTATAAAGAATAAAGCCTGCTTGGCTCACAGATTTGAAGTTGGGCAGTCCAAAAAGCATGACCTCAGCACCTGGTGAGGGACATTGTACTGTATCCTAAAATGGAAGTGGACATCCTAGGAGACGGGACGTGTGTGTGTGTGTGTGTGTGTGTGTGTGTCTCTCTCTACTGCCCACATGATTTCATCTAACCCTAATTACCTCTCCAAGGCCCTGCTTCTAAATATTTAACATACGACTTGGAGTTAAAGCTCCAGTACATGAACTTTTAGGGCCACATTCAAATCACAGCCTGTACCAAAGCAAGGTGAGGTCAGTGTAGTAAAATAAGGCTGCATCCGGATCTCACTCCTGCACATCAATGCAAAAATCCTAAGCAACGTATCAACAAGCCAAGTCCAGCCTTTGATTATCCATCTATAATGTATTCCCTTGATAGATACAAGAGGAGCAGCCGGAGATCACTAGAGGTCACTTCCTCATAGTTAATAGAATGCAGAGACCTCGTGGAATGCTAGGGTGAGAGGAGCTTTCAAAGCGTCAGAAGAGTCCCCATTTGAAATTAGTGGTGAGACTGGGCATGCATGTGCGTGTGCGTGCTCACGTGCAAGTGCGTTTCTGCATGAGTGTTCACATGTGTTCATCATCGCTTCCCATGTTTCACTTAAGTCTTAGCCAGTGCACTAAGGCACTAAGGCAAGAAAGACAAATCAACAGTGTAATAACTTAAAAGAAGAAACAATGTTGTGTCATTTACAGGTGATATGTCTAGAGAAAATACAAAGGTATCTATAGGTGAATTATTAGAAATAGTTTAATAGGATTATTGGATTTAAGAATATATACAAATTGATTCTTTCTTCACTAGCAAAATTAAGAAACATAAGGTAATTTTTTAAATCACAATACACATAATAAGATGTGTAACTGAACCAACAGAAGAGGTACGAGACCTATTTAAAAGCAGCTATGAAACTTAGAGAACTTTGAAAACTTTCTTTAAAATACCGCAAACATTTCTTTGCCAAGCAGCCTACTCAAGATCAGAAAGAAGCGGGTCAGGTTTTCGTATGTTCCATAAATAGATCCTTGGCAGTTTTCATGAAAATCCCATTGCTATTAGATGATTTCGCCAGGTAGATTCAAAATTTATGAGAGCAAAAGCCCAAGAATAAAGAATATGTTCCTAAAGGAAGAGAGAAAGAAAACATGGGCGCTCCGGCCTCATGGTGGATTACAGTTAAGTTGTAGTAATTGAGACAAAGACACCATGACTTTAACACCAGCACGGTAGTCCCCTTCTATCCACGGGGGAGATATCCCAAGGCCCCAGGAGCTGTCTAATGCATCAACCCAGACATCACTGAAAATAGCCCGTATAGTCTGTTTTCCCTATTCATACATACAGGCCTGTGATAAAGTTTAAGTTCAATTAGGCGGAATAACATTAACAATAATGATTAAGCAATTATAACTGTACTGTAATAGCTATGTAAATGTTGTCTCTCACACCATTGTACCTTTTCCTTTTTCCTTTTCCCATTACTGTACTTGCACATTGGGGCTATTGTTACTTAAAAAAAAGGTCACTAGAACACAAGCAGTGTGATCACATGGGGTCGGTTTGACACGGGGCTGCTAAGTGAGTAACGGGCAGGTAGCAGATACAGCATGGACCCAGTGCACAAAGGGCTGACCCACATCCAGGAGGTGCGCTGCAAGAGATCTCATCGTGCTGCTTAGAACTGCGTGCAGTATGTAATTCGTGAATCATTCCTATCTGTAATTTCCATTCAGTGGTTTCAGACCGTGATTGGCTGCATGTCAGTGAGTCTGTGGCAAGTGAAATCAGTGAGAAGGACGAACTATGGTACAGCAAAATGGACTGGTGTGTACAAAAGAAAAACCCAAAATACAAAGCTAAATGGAAACTAGAGGTGTGGCAAAGGTGGGGTGGTACGTCATGAGGGAGGGGAGGCTCGTCAGCAAGCAAACGGCGTCCAGGAGCTGCTTGCCAACACGGGGCGAAGTGAAGCTAGACCCCTACATTGAATGGCATACAAGTATCGACTCTGGATCCAATAAGTGTGTAAGTGTAAAAATAAAGGCTTTAACTTTTTAGAAGAAAGTTCTTACCTGCGGGGAGGAAAGAACGTCTTAAATGAGACACAAAACTTATTCTGTTCAGCCACATTAGAATTAAGAAATTCTGTTCGTTGAAAGAAAATCTTAAAAACTGAAAAGATAAGCTGCTAAGAGCGAGGTGCTTACAGTACTTAATGCCAGAGGTTTAGTATCCAGAATACAAAGGTAATAAGAGGACAGACATGAAAGATGCATGATCAAAAAAAAAAGAAAGATGCCTGATAAATAAACAGAAATGGCACATAAGCACTCAGAAGCCCAAATCAATTATTAAGTAATCAAGTAAGCTCTTAGTTTATACCTCTAGGTTGACAATAATAAAGATACCTAACAATATTGACCATTCATGAGGCTATAGAGTTGTAACCACTTGGGAAAATAATTTTAAATTAGTGTTAACAATAATTTGCATAACATACAACCAAATGTAGGGCTTTACCCCAAGGCCTATCTCTACAACAGTATTTTTCAAACTGCAAAGGGACCCATTACTGCCTTGTGAAGTGTTTCCAGCATACATGAATATATATGTGTCTCGGGTTGTAATGTAAAATGGATTTCTTGGAGTGAGGGACTCGAGGGAATTGAAACAGTGTCCTCTGAGTTCTTGGGTATGTGCCTTGGGCAACATACATAAAGTATATTATTTACAGTAGCAATAAATTGGGGGGTGGGAAGACCCCGCATGTCCACTGACAGGAGAATGGATCAGTACCTACACAGGGAATATGATACAGCATTAAAAACGGACTGCGGTTATATATGTTAATATAAATAGATCTTAGAAATGTAATGTTGAGCAAAAACACCACTCCTAGAGGCGGTAGCCATGGTGTTCTAGTTATAAATCTCAAAAAAAGATATGCTAAGCAACATACTATTTAGATAGGGGGGTATGCGTCAAGTATGTTTTTAAAAAGAAAGCAAGGTATAATATATAGTCATAATATGGAATTTTTTGAAACAGTGTCTTGCATTTATTTTAGCCATTTCTGTACTCACTATGTAGCCCAGACTGTGGTCAAACTCACGATGACCCTCCTGTTTCAGTCCCGAGTGCTGGGATTGTAGGCACAAGCCACCACTCCTGGCGCAACAAGGGAATATTTTTAAGCCATAAAAAGGAACAAAACACTCATACAGGCTACTCTGTTGATGTACCTTAAAAACTGTAGGAATGCGAGATACAGAAAGCCACAGATTTTATGATTGTTTTCTATATGAAATGTCCAACACTGGCAAACACAGAGACCGTGTGATTAATAGCTGTCAGGACCCTGGGATGGTGGTAGGTGGAAGGAGCGAGGGACTGCTAATAGGTGCAGAGCTTCTAGCATCTTCAGAGATGCTGAAGTGTTTAGGAACTAGAAAATGGTAAGAACTAGACTGTAGTCGGGGCACGTGACATGAGGTCTCCCCTCGAACACATCTAGGTGTACAACACCAGCTCTAGGGACTGGTGTGGTACAAGAGGTCTCTAGAACGGACTCAGTTTGCACACCTGAAAATTCACACCTGCTGGCTAGCAAGCTTTTAAAAAAGAAGAGCAAGGCAATGATTAAAAATATATGTGATCAGGATGCTGATGACCTCTGGGAATCAGAGAGGCAGGGAGTGGGTGAGAGAAAAATACAAATAAAGGCAGTGTTTGTACTGATCTAGTTTTTAGTTATTGGTAAGTGTTTATCTTACTACTGGGCTCCATAATTTGTGTGCTGTGTACTTCTGCATATACGGTATATACTGTAAACGTTAAAGGAAAAATAATTCTAAAGTAAGACAGCAGAACTGGCCTTCTGATAGACATTTTAATCCCCACGGAGCACCAGCTTCTGCATGGCTCTGGATGCAGTTGTACTGACCTCTGGTGGCAGGGAGACGAAAGACAGCGGAGTGACCTGCTTGGGACTCGGAGAAAGTCACCAAGTTCCCATGCTCAGACCAAGTAGCCAGCAAGCAGGTCACTAAGCAGATGGTACGTCCTGGGGCAATGTACTCGCCATCAGGGTGAGGCTCGGCGAGCTTCAGTGGAGCTCCCAGCATCTCCTGGAAAGGGAGAGACTCGGAGGCTGATGCTAGAAACTGTCTCCAGATTCCCTTTGTCTTATCAGGGTCACCTTTGGGGGAGACGAACAGTTGAAGCCTTTGGGAAGAGTTGATTGGGCTGCTCCAGAATGTGAAGGCCAGCTTAAGGTACCTGCCTGGCTCAGGGTTTGCAGAGAGAAAGTGACTTTCCAGTGTCCCTTCCCACTGCTGGCTGGAGTAGGTGGGTGTTGCTTTATCCACCTGACCCCTATCTGATACAAAGGAGAATTTCTGATGGGTTATTGGCTATGAAAACTGAACCAGGAACTGAGATGGCCATGGAAAGATGACCCAGACAGAAGGACACAGAGATCATAACAGATCATAGCAAAATCCGGGTGCTTTTGTGGCGTTGGCCTGTGACACGGTGTAGTCCTAGTGCCTACCAGTTGCTCTAATTTGGTCCCTGAGACCTTGGGATGCTCTCTTGGCCTGGAGTGGAGCTGCGGGTTTGCCTGGGCCAGGCTGATGTTTGGGATTTGGCGTGGGGTTCCTGTCTAGTGAATAACCACTTCTTCCTTATGTCCCTAGACATGATGGAGGTGGTGCTGATCTTCCTCTGCAGCCTGCTGGTCCCCAAGGTCCTGGCCAGTGGTGAGTAGGAGGATGGCAGCCACAGCCCTTCCTAGTGGAAGATTCTAGCCCTTTGTGGATTTTCAGCCTGCACCTCGGAACTCACTGCACACCAGTGACTGGACCACGAGTAGCTCCTTCTGGCTGTGCAAGTCATGAGTCCTTTCCCGGCCTCAGTTTCCCCACTTGTTAGAGGATGATAGACCTGCCTTTTGCGGGTGATGCAAGAATGAAAAGGGGCACTGGATGTGGGTGTCCTGGGAATCCCTGTGTGGGTACTGAGGTCTGGGAGGTCAGGTGAGCTCGTTCAGGCTGTGCAGCTCTCCTCTTCCTGACCATGTCTGTTTACTTTTGCAGCAACTGAGGAGAAAGAAATAGACCCTTTTCATTATGGTAAGGGGCCTCAACAACCCGGGGTGCAGCGTGGGGGATGGCGGGTTGGGGTGCAGCCCTGTGCAGGGAGGGATGCACACAGCCTACAGCCCTGCCCTGCTTCTGTGACCCACCCTTGGTCTCCTTGGCAGACTACCAGACCCTGAGGATTGGGGGATTGGTGTTTGCTGTGGTCCTCTTCTCTGTTGGGATCCTCCTTATTCTCAGTAAGTTTGTCGCTTCCTTGTGCACGGGGTCCCCAGGTGGGTGCAGGCAGTCTGGCTGTTGTGTCTCTGGGAGGAGGAAGGAGACGCTCTGTCCTCGGTGTTAGCTCCAGGGCCCAGCACTGCTGAGCACATAGAAACGCTTGGCAAAAAGTGGAGCATGAGCAAGGAAAACGTAAATGAGAAGTAAGCATAGGTGAGAATGGGCGGGGTTGCTCTCCCAGACCTGTGTTCATAGGGCACGAGCAGGACAGTGACAGAGATAGGGGACAGGTGCGGTGCCCTGTGTCCATTTTCCACACGGGGGCCTGCAGCGGGCCCTTGCATGCGCGTGGTGAAGCGCACTGTGCTGATGTGGTCATACCAGCTGTTGGATGTCCTACCCTGGGCTCCGGCAAACCCTACTCCAACCTAAGATGGCTATATAGAGTCATGCTAGGGTGGCATTTACCCAGTCCCTCGAGATGCAGACTCAGAGCTGCCCTCCTGTGGCCAAGCCAGGTGCTTGACCTGGAGCTTATGCTGGGATGGACTGTGACCTTGATGGTCTCTTTGCTTTTTAGGTCGCAGATGCAAGTGCAGTTTCAATCAGAAACCCCGGTAAGAATACCATGGCTCTGGCCATCTGGGGTGGCATCAGGAGGGCCAGGGAGGGGCTTGTGGCATGGGACCTTAATGGGCATTCTGTTAGGTCCTTGTCTGAGAAAGAACATGTGTACATGATGGAAGGCGAGGGAGGGCTGTGAACTTGAGGATTGCCAGGAGACCCCGGGGCAGGGCAGAGGTGGAACATTGAGGGCAGCCTTTGAGGCAGATGTGGGCAGGCGAGGTGGATGAGAAGGAGCTGGAACTTTGTCTACACTTGTGACATTTGGGAGATGGCAAGCAAAGGGCTTTGAGGCCACTCTTGAGGTTCATGTTCTCTCTACAGAACCTCGAGATACTGTCCTTGTGCCTCACCTGTGTGTGGCTCTTTGAGCTAAGTAGACACTTGGCTTCTCTTTCTGTTTCCCATCAAGTCACGCCCTATTAACCCACCACAGTAGCCCATGGTGGCTTCCAACCTAGAAAGCCCAGATCCTATGCCTGGGCACACACAGGACCCTACAGAGCCCTAGGTCACCTTCCAAGTTCATAGTTATCTTGGGGGCTGACCTGGAGGTGCCTATAAGTTCCTTATTTCCTTCATCCCTACTTCTCCCTCACCCAGCACTGCCCCAGGGTAGATAATGCTTGAGCCTCTTAGAGTATTTGGGGGGGGACAGATCCCAGATGGTCCTGCACCAGCCAGGAACGTGGTGACACTGCATGTGCCCTGGAGGCCCCTGACAGGCTGTGTTCTCTTACAGGGCACCAGGGGATGAGGAAGCCCAGGGGGAGAACCTCATCACTGCAAATGGTAACCAGCCAGATGGAACAGAGAGGGCGGAGAAGGCCCTCATGTGTCCCAGGAAGGGGCTGCTGTGCGGGGCCATGGCCTCCTCAGGGCTCGCTGGGAGAGGGCTGTCCAGGGGCCTGTGGGGTTGCCCCTCACCTGCATCAAACAGGCCACTATAAATGAGACTCCATAGAGCATCTGCTGTGTGTTGAGGACAGACCCGTACCTTTCACGTGTACTTGGCCTGTGAAGAAGGCATTGTTACTCTCATTTTATAACTGTGACCCAGAACATGGGTTCTTGCAACCAGCAAGTAGCAGGCATGGATTTGTAGCCCTGCCTGTGTGAGTCGAAGTCTCCTGCGTCACCCGCAGGTCGGCTGCATCATGGATTGGCCCAGGGTGAGGGGTCCGTAACTGTGTCTGTTCTGGTTTTCTTTCAGCAGCGGAGCCCCAGAAAGCAGAGAACTGAAGTGCAGCCTCCAGTGAAGGTGAGATGCTCTGTGGCAGGGCCTTCTGCTCTCCTCTCACAGTCATCGAACCTGCGCACGGGTGTCCCACGGGAAGTCCTAGGATGCAGGGAGTGCAACTTTATTAGGAGTTCTGCTCCGAGCAGGCCTTCAGGGGTAGGAGAGGGACAATAGGACACAGTCCCAGAGACAGTGAGGTGTGCCACACCCGTGCATAGAGAGCATCTGGAATCCATTTTACCCAGCCTAGGGCTCCAGCTTGTAGGTTACTACTCCAGCCACCCCACAGGCATGGCTGGGAGGGAATTGGAGTTAGGGGAATACTCCTCTGTCAGAAAGATGATGAATCAGAAAGTACCTTGAAGCTTTTTTATGTTAAAAAAAATTATGATTTTTCCCACTCTATTCAAAAGTGGGAATAATAAGAAATGATGTTCCCACTCCTGGAAACACTACCGCTTCTGAACACGTGGGGGCACTGTTTAGCATCCACCCTTGGGCATGTATGCAAGTGCATAGTAACTGGTGATGGTGTCCCAAGCACGGCCAAACAGGAATCTCCGGAGCCTGCCAGCCATAGATGACATAGGTGGGGCTGACGCCTGTTTTATAGTTGAAGAAATTGAGATGGGAGAAGGCTGTTCAGGTTAGTAAGTGACAGGCTCAACCTGAGTGCAGGTCTCTGTGACTAACCATAGGTTAGTGCTATCCCACTATACTCTGTCCTATCTTTGTCCCTTAGGGCAGACCATGGCATGTATTAGAGCCAAAGTTCAATCTTTTGTCAGCTCAGATAAAAAATGCTATGCAACTTTATCCTATAAGTTAAAAGAGGTCTCAGCATGGTGAGGTGCTGATCCACCAGATTTCTCCATGATGGCAGTAACACAGTGTGTCTGGGAATGTCTCAGTTCCTACCTAAGGGTATTTATGCCCTTGTGACAGCCCCACGCATAGGCAGAGCAGCCCCGTCTTTGGGATGGGGTTCTTCAATGCAGGTGACCACCCAAGCTAGTAGGGTCACAGAACCCCACCAGGAGGCAGGAGCCTGGTGGTTCCATGTTCTGCCCATTCCACTGCACGTGGCAGGGAACACTGACAGTGTGGAGGAGACAGCCTCCAAAAGGAATAGAGGTTGTCTGGGGTTGACCAGGTACGGCCCACAGGGGATAGCCCTCCTCCTGCCATGCCTTCATCTCCTTTCTGTGCTGTCCTCCTTGTGGCAGCAGGACAGGGGCCTTTGAAGGAATTCGAACCCCGGAGTTTCGGTGCACAGCATGGCTGGGCTGCAGGAGAGAGCACACGAGGCCGCTCACAGCACCCAGAGCTTGGCTTTTATTTAAATTCTTTCCCTCCTCAGCCTCAAGACTCTGAGGGCAGCTGCTCCAACCTTTAGAGGCAGATATTGATAAGAAGCTCCAGCCACTTCAGCCACAGATCTCTCCCTAGGAGAAGCCAACAAGTCATGTGTCCCCTGCGCCCTTCCCCATCCCTGCTAACCCCAGTTCTGCGCACATCCACGCAGCTCACCCAGGCCTTCCCCGCCCGCAGCCTGCAGTCTCGTCGTCGCCGCCTGTGCTGTGCCTGTACGTGCGTGTGCGTATGTGTGCGCGTGTATATGCTGACTGTGATCTTTGTGGCTACTTGTTTGTGGACAGCGTTGAGTCTGTGAACCGTGGATTCACTTTCCTGGGCAGGAGCTGTGCCCAGTTGCCATCGGCTCCTCCCCGCTTCCCTGGGGGCCTCCATCACTTCCCGCTCCCTGGACTGGCCCATCTTGATTTAGGGGTGAGGAGAGAGTAGGAGTCCCCACCTCTCTCTAGGCTAGAAAGGTTTGCATCGCCTTCCCCACGGCGTTTCATGGGCCCTCTCCAGTCCACCTGGCCCTTGTATTCCATCTTGACCCAAGCTGTTCGGAAGGCCTCAGCAGCTGCAGGTGTAGAGGAGGAGCGGGGGAGGCCAGCGTGGCTGTCAGATGGGCTCCGCCTGGCCGCATTTCGTTTTCTTCTTGGGGTTCCACGCGGAGTCTCCACCTGCTCTGCCCCTTTGCAGAGCACCCGGGAAGTCCAGGCTGGGCTTTTCCTCTGCCCCTTGGGAGCATGCCCCTTGCATATCTTCTCAGCAATAACTCACGGGCTCTGGAACACTCCTGCCCTCATCCTCCCTCCCTGTTTCTAAGACGTCCATCCATAGCTTAGCTCACCCAGACTCAGTCTGCCATCTGTGTCTGAAGTTGGGTCCCCGGAAGTGGGTGGCTAAGGGATCGCCATTAGGTCGGGCTCAGCACGCAGGGATGGGCAGCCCGGAGAGCAGGAAGCACCCCGCTTCTCTGCCCGTGTTCCGCTGATCAAGCAGCAACAACAGCTCCTGCGTCCTTCCCACCCATCTCAGTCAGCGGTCACAATGGTGAGTTATGTGTGGGCAGGAGTTGTGCTGCCAGTCAGAGGCCAGCGGGGCTACGTGTGGCCCTGCTGCAGATCAACAGCAAGGAGCTGAAGGTCATGAGAGAGTGGAAAGTCCAGCCAGGTCCCGCTCCACCTGTCCCTTGTGTTCCCATGGAAACTACCCAAACCTTGCCGTGTGACCAGGACTGCTGCTGTCTGTCTTGTGATCTATCCTCTCTACAACAACAGAAAAATAAAACATCACTGTTTCCTAGTGGCTCAGAGGTGCTTTTCTTTCTGAAAGGAACCTGAGTATCTGCAGGCCTGTTGGCCTTGGAGGAGGAGAGGGCTGGAGGGCCGCCAGGGGAGAGCATGTTTTTTTCAGCTGCTCTCCCAAGTGGCACCTCCTCCCGACCTCCCACTCCTTCCTCCACCCCGTGCCACCTCCTTCACCACCCTCCTCCCTCAGTTCCTGAACTCAGACTCCCTCCTACAGCAGAACCTGTACATTTGTACTGAAGACTGCAGCTTGCCCAGGTGCCCACTGGCCTGGAGTAAAAGCTTTTCTTATTGGCCTGGAGTAAAAGCTTTTCTTATTGGCCTGGAGTAAAAGCTTTTCTCATTGGCCTGGAGTAAAAGCTTTTCTCATTGGTCAGGTCTGGAGCCATGACCTAAAGACCTGAGGGTAAGGGCGCATGTGGGTTATGCTCAGAGCGTCACTGTGCCTGCTTCCCACTCAGATGCCCCTCCTCTGTGCGGCTTCCCTGACCTAGGGGCAGAGTCCTGTCCTTCCTGTGCTCCCATCGCACTTGGCTCCTGCTGTTATCTTCACACTTACTGCTTTATCTGGGTCCCACACTGCAGAGGCCCACCATTATGTCTATGAGATGCACCTGGAGGTGGCGCAGAGGGCTCTGGGTGTCTCCTAAAGCACTACCCCTTGCATATCGAATACTGCTTTTCAGAAAGCATCATTGGTCAAGTAAACAGCTGTGGGTCGACTCTGTGGGGAGGTCAGTTGAGTGCAGTGCACACCTAGCCTTTTGGGTGTCAGGGGTGAGACACAGCTCAAGGGCAAGAACACATCTAACGTGAGAGTACCTGGCACTCTCAGGGCCTCAAACCTTCATAGCCTGTCTGGATCCTGGAACTATTAGAGTCTCAGAACTGAGGCTCAGGTCTCAGGGGCCTGGCCAGGCCCAGCCATTTCCTGGCCACCCCTGGACCTGCTTGGGGCCTTTCCCACTCCTGTTCCCACTTGTGCCTCCATCCCCTGGGTCTCTGGAAAGACAGATGTAAGGCCAAGATGCAGCTCAACATTGTCAACCCAGTGATCGTGGCAGTTAAAGGGATTCTCATGTGTATCTAGGGTGAGTAAACGGGCTGATGAATATCATTCACGGAGCACTTACTGTGTCACGTTTTCAGTGCAGGTGATTGAGACCCTGGGAGGCCCCAGAAGTGAAGACTGGGTACCTCTCCTAGGTGTTGAAAACATTACAGTAAGTGTAAGGAGTCCAGTGGGGACTCTATTGCCCTAGTAAGAGGGAGTAATAGTCACCACTCTAGCCTATAGTCATCCCAACTTTGCCAAAGTCTAAATACCTATCTAGTTTTCCTCCTGTCTCAGCTTTATCCTGACATAGCAGGACAGTGTCATCTTAAAAATATTTAGACTGGTCCCAGCCATGCAGCTGGTGGGCACAGAAGCTGGGATGGATAGAGCTCTCCGCACGACTTTAAGAGACACATCACCTACCCAGCCTTCTTGGATAAAGCTGACGCTGAGGTGAAGAGCAGTGACCTGTTGGATGACCTCTGTGGGCATGACTGTCCCTTTGGAGCGTAAACTAACCAGCCTGCTTCAGGCAGGCCTCCAGAGGAAGTGAGTGGCATGGAAATAGGACACATGAGGAACAAATAACATGAGTAACCCTGTAGCAGTCATGACGGCAGCTGATGGTTCATCCAGCGCTTCCATGTGCTGGGCCTTCACATGGAGCAGCTCATTCCCAGCTCACTTCCCAGAGCGCTGAACCTCCAGGAAGGTGGACCCAGGGCTGCGTTCACAGCCACCAGGCGTGCGACCCTCTCTATGTGACCCTTATTTCTGTTTGTGATTTGGCTTAATGTGGCAGATATGTTTTGATTGAATAGGCAAGCTGTGTCTTACCCTTTCCCAGAAGGCTTGCAAGGTCTGCAACAGTGACATCAGAGGACCTGCAGATTTTACCTCCTGGCTGCTCCCCTGCCTCCTAGGAATCTGATCCCAGAGATGTTCAAACCTGTTTGCATGAGGTGTTCGGGAGGACTACACACCTTGACAAAGATGAGTCAGTCTCCTTTCTGGGCCCCCAGGTGCCATAGCGCTCACTCCTGTCTGGTTTTCGTTTGTTTGGGCAGTTCGTTTTATTTCTTTCATACTAGAGAACTTGCCAATTGTTCTTGGGAGAGAGTGGCAAAGTACAAGCAGCAGGGGTGGGAAGAGGGCGACGGGGCTGAAGCACACTCCCAAGGTCGTCAGGAGCTTGTCCCCTCCCCCAGGACCATGGGTTGGCAGCGAGGCTGGGCAGCACAGGTGTGGGGGAGCTCTCCAGCTCTGTCTGGTTTGCCCCACCTTGTCCCTGCTGCTCTGCCTCACCCCAGCCCCAGCGAGAGGAAGGGGCCAGGTGTGTTTGCCTGAGTCAGGGGAGCAGCTTTGGAAATACCTGTCTCCAGGGCACACAGAGGAGGAACTGCCACCTCTTGCCATTAGGGTGATTCATTGCAGCCACAGCCTGGCTGGGGAGGTCGGGGAGAATCAGCCGGCTGGAGCCAACCACCTGCTGGTTTTATGGAGCTAGCCGCAGTCCCAGGGCTGATTGTGCAAGAGTAGGTGCCTGCCAAGGCGCTGATAGGGGGCCAGGTGATGCTTCGGTTGGATGTCCTGAAAGCCTCTCCACAGCAGGGCTAGAGGGGTGGGCCCCTGCCTCTGAGCCCTTGTGCCCTGCTTCACTCTCAGTGAGCCCCAGGCTTTCTTTCCTTTGTAGCATGAGCAGGGACTTCTGCTGGCCGTGTGACCCTCGGAGAGCTACAAGCCTCAGTGTCCTCAACTGGGAAATGGATCCATTGGTAGCTTCCTGTTAGTTCCTAGGTCAAAGGGATGCCACGGGCATAAGTGTACTTTGACAATTCTACCTGTGCACGTTATCACCATTGGCCTTGCCACCCATTCTTACCTCCTCCACTCTCTGACGGGACCCCTATTGTCTGAGATCTGGGATCAAACTCTGACTTGTCCACATCCCACCTGCACTGTAAAATCAGCTCACAAAGCCTGCCTGGTTGAGTTGTTGGGAGAGGCAATCAGATCTTTAGAACTCTTCAGAGCCATCAAGTGGGCAGGATCACTGCCAGGTGAGGAGGCCTGGGTGCCAGGGCCCATGGAGATACAAACACTGAATAGAGACCATGATCTGAGTCCTCTGGAGGCCTGGAGGGACCGTGCCACTTGCCGTGGCCACAAAGCCATGGGGCGCCCTTTCGAGCCACAACAATGAACTCCTGGGGACAGAGGAGGGAAGGAAAGGAAGTATGGTGGACCACTGTGGAGGTCTTCTTGGGGCAGAGGGCCTGGAGTTGTGCAGAGCTGCTGCGGGGTGCCATTACTGAAGTGAAGGGCTGCAGCTGCGCCAAACAGGCTGTTTCTGTTCCCGGGCAAGACCAGACTTGTGTTCTGAGAAAAGTCAAGAATGTATTTTTCTTCAGGGTGTTCACTGTGGGAGAGGTGGATCAAATGGGTTTGCCCTTGTCACCAGCTGGTGACTTTGACGTTTATAGAGTACATTGCCCTTTGGCAGCTCCCAGGACCTCTGTGCCCTACAGCTTGGGCCATCCTGAAGCCACCACTTAAGGAATGGACCCACCAGGGTCCACCTCCTCCCAGACCAGCCTTATAAGACCCCAGTGACCTGACATCTGTGGTCACAGCAGGAGCCAGGAGCCAGCACTCAGGGTTCCCTTCTGGGCAGTGTAGAAGGGGCTGCGACCTTCTCTGTCCAGTGGCTTTGCATGCCATGCAGCTGGGGACAGACTTGAACCAGGGACCAGGGCTTTCTAAGGGGCTCTGGCCTCCGCCTCATCAAAGTGCCTTTGCAGCTGCCAGCAAAGGTCCCCTGCGGAGACCTGAAGTCCAAGGTTCTGGATGCTGACCTGAAGCCCCTGCAAAGCCCTGGGATGGTGGAGCTGGAGAGTCCCATCCTGAGGAGGTGCAAGGCAAGCATCTCTCTGCTAGCTCTTCTTCTGAGCGCCAGGGAGATGCAGGGCAGCGGGCTGTCCCAGCCCAATTGCTCCCTACCCGACAAACCCAATGACTCTCCAGGTTTCCCAGAGACTCAAGAGTCAGGAGACAAAAGGACGCCTGCCTGGAGGAGGTGGGAGACAGGCATATCTGTGGAGAGCATCGTCCCACTGGATGACAGTGATGGGACCCATCCAGTAGCGGGGAGTCTCTCTCTTCCTCCCAAAGCCTCCTCGCTTGGGCTCTTGACGGGCATGCCTGGCCTGGTGGATGATCTTCTGTGGCTTCGTCTCAGAACAACCAGACAAAGGAGGAGGGCTTAGGTCCCCACCTGCTCCGTGGCCTTTCTGGAACAGCAGAGCAGTGTTTCTGTGCCAGCTAGCCTCCCTCCCCAGGAAAGACTGGAAGAACAAGAACAGAGGCCAGACCCCAGCAGAGAAAGGCCGGACTCCCCAGTTTGTGCAGGAGAAGCAGCATGGGGACAATGGCTGGCAGAGGTCCTGCTGGGAGGTTAGGGAGCCAAGTGGCTCTCAGGGACCCTGCTTCAAAGATCAGTCACTGGGGCGCAAGCCAAGTGAAGGGATTGCAGGGGAGCATCATGTCTCCTGGGGACCCAGCACAAGGGGAGGAGAACAAAGCTGCCCTTTGTTAGGACCTCTGGCCAGCAGTCCTGCAAGGTAGGTGCTCTTGCTCCACTTTATAGATGGCAGGAGAGCCTTGGAGAGGAGCTATTCCTCAGGGCTGTGTGGGAAGGGAAGGACCAGGGTGGACAGGGATTTGAGTTCAGGCAGTGTGACCCTGTAGTGCCTCTGCACTTAGAGACCCAGAGGAGGGCACACTGCCTCAGACTGTGCCCAGGGAAACGTGGACTGTGGGGAAAGGGGCCAAGGCCACTCTGCAGGAGAGCAGCGTGTCTTGGACAGGACCTCCTTGTCCCAGTGCCAGCTAGGACCTGACGATGGCCTTGGTAGGCCGGGGAAGGACAGGGAAGGAGGATGAGGAATGACTCGGGTGTGAGGGAGGCATGGGGCGGGACCTCTGCCCCCCATCCTGGCTTCCGGGGTTGGGGAGGATCACAGGGTAGGGGCAGATGGGGCAGTAGTGAGGCACAAGAGGAGCGAGAGAAAAGCCCAGCAAGGGCCCTAGGGGAGCAGGAGGGGGAACTGACCATCGGCTGCCTCTCTGGGAAGGCAAATCAGGCCCAGTTACCTGTTGTGGGCAGGTGATGGCATGAAAAGCTAGTGGCCTTGGACCAGCTCCGGGTTCACCTGTGCCACTGCTGGTGACATCACCTCTCTGGAACTCACTGGAGGCCATCCCGGGGCCTGTGGGGGTACAGGAATGAGTGAAGACACGATCTCTGCTCTCCTGGAGCTTATCTTCACATTGGGAGAAAGGCAAATAACACAAGGAAAAGATGTAACATGCCAGATCGTGGGACTGGATACCTCAGAGAAAAAGGAAGCTTTGAGAAGGAATTTGAGGCATGGCGAGAGGTGGTGCGAACACTTTCCACAGGGAAGCCTCAGAGGGCCTCCTGCATCCGTCTCTGAGGAAGACCTGAGCTCTGCATGAGCTGAGCTGGAACTCTGGAGGCTGCAAGCATGAAGCGCAAAGCATGCCTCAGAGCATCCTGAGGCAGGACTGAGCCCCAGAGGTCCAGGGGGCCATCACGGGCACCAGCTTGGCTGGAGTGGAGAGACCAGCACGAAGCTGGAGACAGGTTCACACAAAAACAACTGAGGTTCCCTTCAGGCGGCTTGACAGGAGAGCAAACTATGTTGCCAAGCTTGGGGATTGGATGGCATGGCTTTGGGGACCCTTTTCTCTTTGTCTGAGCTCAAATGCCTCCCTGCATGGCACCAGGCTCGAGGAAGGATTGCAGAACTTTTAGAGGGTGGCAGAGGTGGATCGAGCCAAGAATTCCATTTGGTTGTGCCACTCAGAACCTTTGCGCCAGCTCCCCGGTGAAGTCCCTGAAATGTGTACGCATCTCTAGGGTCCAGCCTGGGGAATTTCCACCAGCAGCTCCGGGCTATCGGAATGCACAGGCTTCTACTTAGGAGCGCGTGGCAAGGCCAGTGGGCGGGGTCATCCCTGTCTCACTCCCAGGTAGTCAGGGCTCCAGCATAGGCTGCAGCCAGCTGGTTTTCACTTCCGAGCATGTGCTGGCCCCAAGTGGCTCCCTGGGGCATCATTAGTCCTCTGTAAGGGCAGGAAGTACTCAGAGGGGACAACAAGGCCGGCTGTCCAGGTGGCCAGCCCCAGCCCTCACTACTCAGTATCCATGCTGGGGTGACCATGCCAGGCAGCCAGGGAGAGACCCTTCAGCCGCAGTCAGCCACACAGAGACTTCTTGTTGTGGCCTTGCCCAGCTCCAGAGGAAGTGGCTAGGGCTCAGGACCCCGAGGCAGCCTGGTGGGCAGCTCTGGCACTCTTCCAATCGGCTCCAGGGTCCTGCACGGGGACCAAAAGAAGTACAGCCTCTGCTGTTCCCTTCCAGCACTAAGCCGCAGCCCCTGGGGCCTCATGAAGGGCCGCTGTCTCTGGCTGAGTCCTCTGAGGGGTGGCAAGTAGAGCTGGCATCACACTAGGGGGGAGGTCCCCAGGGCTGCGTGTGGAAGGAAAGGAGGAAGGACCCGCTGCCAGGTCCCACTTGTGCCCCATCCTCAACCCCAACCTAGAAGCGTCCCCACCTCACCAAAGGCACATCTGGGGCTGCTGCCGATCTGTCTAGGCACAAGAATACACTGAGGCAGGAGGCAGGATCTCTCAGGACAAAGGAGAAGGGCACAGGTCCCCCTGAGTGAAGGTTCAGGGGACCCACACAAGTACCCTTAACTGTGTCACTTAGTTGCTAGCCCAAGAGCTCAGAATCTGGGGCTCCCCTCCTGGCCACTACCCCCCAGCAACCTTCCCAGACCACAGCATGGAGATTATGGGGGAGGAAGGCAGCAAGCGCTGCTGTTTGCTTTGCTATGCTCACAGCTGCCCCTCCTCAGGCGCCCCATGAAGGTCAGAGCATCCCCCCTCACGTGGCTCCCCTGCCCCACCCGCCCAGGCGGGCAGCTCCAGGTAAGGGCTGCCTTGCCAGCCCCCATCCCCCGCCCTGTTTCTTCCTGTCTGGACACAGCAGAGGCTGGAGGGACAGAGGGAGGGAGGGAGGGAACATCACTGTTCCCATCCAGGCCCAGCCCACAGCGCTCCGCAGCACTCCTGTACCCCAGAGCACAGCCAGCAGCTCCTGCCATGGACAGGTGGTACCTGGGTGAGTCCCCCAAGCTCTGTGCTTTCGCACCCACTGGCTCAGCCTCTGACATGCATGGTGGCCTTGCGCTTTCAAGTGTGTGCAGAAGCGGAGAGAGGCAGAGTGTCTGAGCAGGGGCCTATCAGAGGGCGGTGCTGTGGCTTCGGCAGATCGGAGCTGCAGGCGCTGGGGACATAGCTCGCCCAGCACCCTCCTCGCTGGCGGTCTGTCTGTCTGTTCATCCATCTTCAGCAACTTGGAAGGCAGGCCCCTGGCTCCGAATCTTGATTCCCCACTTCCTAGCTGCCTGCCCTCAGAGAAGTACCTTCATTTCTGTATCTCAGCTCCTTTATCTCCAAAACAGGGGTGATACTAGCACCTTCCGGCCATTTGTCTGTCTGTCTATCTATCTATCTATCTATCTATCTATCTATCTATCTATCTATCATCTATCTATCTATGTATCCTCTATCTAATTTTCTATCCTCATTATTCGAAAAAGAACTCCTGGTGGCTCACATAGATAGAAAGAATTCGCTCAGGTAGCATCAGACCTGGGTGTGAGTGTGGGCTGGGATGGTCATAGTGTTGTGCGCAGAATGACAATAGCTTTGGTACCACAGCCTTGGGGACCTTCAGCTCCTGTCCTCCTACTGTGTTTCAGGTGAGCTTTTTAAGCTCCCTGCCCTCAGTTTTTGTGGCCAGCCCAGGAGATCCCAGTGCATTCTTCTCCACAGCAGCACATGATCAGCCTCAGTTTCTTTGTCTGTAGAATGGAGCTAGCCTGGCTTCTCTGGGTGGAGAGCAGCAGGGAGCCTGAGGGCATGTGGTCCACCTTTATTAAAGGTTGTCTCTATTGTCATATTTTTGGAAACAGACTTGGCTTGAATGCAGAAGGGAGCTGAGCGGGGTGGCGGGTCCTGGTGTGCAGGGCCAGAGTTCTCCTTCGACTCATTCACGCACATTTCACAGGAGGTGGCTGAGACTTTTCTGTGTTTCTCACCAATCCGGGCACAAGTAGTAACAGTGGCATGCGCTGTGTCCAGGGCTGCACCCCGTGCCCTTGGCATGAATTATCAATAACTGGTGGGGGGTGCTGTGCCCACTATATAGGGGAGGAGACTGAGTCACAGCAGTAGGTAACCTGACAGAGGCCACAAGAGCAGGCGTTAATCCCCTGCCATGGTTCGGAGCAGATTCCCTTGAGAAGGGCTCAACTTCCCCTGGACTTGGCCTTTGGGGACTCTGACCACTGGATTTGGCCTTTGGCTACCACCAGATACTAGCCTCTTCTGGAGGTCGGTTCTACTGGCCAGAGCTCAAAGAGAACCATGCAGTGCCACCCACAGGGCACCTGCACTGGCATGCCCAAGGAGAAGGAGTTCACCACAGAGTGGCCTCCACTGGGGAGGCAGCTGGAGCCCTGGTGCTGTGACCTTGGCCACCTCTCAGTGCCTCAGCATTCACCTGTGAATTGGGGAGCTAACACCAAGCTCAAGGGTCAGGACATGCTTTGTAAACCATCAAAGCAAAGTGTTGTCCCAGGATAAGCCCGGTGCTTTCCAGGGCTGGCTGGCAAGGCACTGGGGATGCGTGAGAACGGGAACAACCCGAGAAAGCACATCCTGAGGGTGGAGAGAAAGAACACTGAGCGCAGCTGAGAGGCTGGAAGCTGCGTGGCCAGGACTGAGCACAAGTCTGGGCTGCGGGGTGAGTTGGCAGCCCAGGGTCTTCCTGGGCTGAGAGGTGTGAGGGCTGAAACTCCTAGGCCCTGCTCAGGGTGGTTCCAGGGCTGCAGTGCTAGGGGAGGCAGCCAGGCACCTCAGGAAGCCCGAATGCAGACACATCAACTGCCACAGTGGCGTGGCAGGGGTGGGTCAGGTAGCCCACAGCACGCACTGAGTGAGTGCATTTGGAAACTTCCACTTACCCACCGCACACCCAGCCGTGGCTGCCCGGCTGAAGAATACACCACTGCCCATCGCAGCCTTCCCTGGAAATTTCCTCTGGGCGGGGCTGGCTACCCAGCAGGCAGCTCCCCGCCCCAGCCTCCTCAGGGACAGCTCCTCGGGCCTCGGCCCCTCCATACACATCCTGGCTCTTCTTATGACGAGGGTAAATATTACCTGGCACTGTTAATGTTTAATGCCCCTACCTCGTCCCTGGCCACCCTGTGGCAGAGGCAGCAGCAAGAGGGGAGTGGAGACGAGCCCTGTCGGCGGGGGAGATGGCAGGATTGTCCACGGGTGATGGTGAGTGTGCATGTGTGAGTGTGAGTGTGTGTGAGTGTGAGTGTGTGTGTGTGTGTGTGTGTGTGGCCTGAGGTGGCCATGCTTGCAGGGGTGACCTGGGCCTCACTCTTCCCCCTTCTGCCACCCCTGCCTTCCAGCATGTGGCAGGGGCCTCTAAGAAAATGTGCATTTTGAAAGAGGGCTCTGCCTTCGCCTCCCAGAAAGGCAGCGGAACTGTAGCACCTGGGGGCAGGCAGAGGGCCAGGGGTGAGCGTCCACGCCCAGGGCTCTGGCCTGCACCTGCCCTGCGAGTTGTCCTGCTGGTCACCTGCCCTGGGGCGGGAGGTGGGTGGGTCTGCTGGCCGCGGGGCAGCTGCCCTGCTCACTTTCCCAGGCTGGCTCCACAAGCAGCCCTCCAAGGTCAGCTCACACCCCGAAGGTCTCCTGCGGAGCCCAGGATCTACAGGGGCAGCTGCTGGGGGAGGTGGCTTAGTAGCAGGACCCAAAGAGAGGAGGCGGGCAGGGGCTGAGGGAGGCATCAGAGTACCAGGTGGCCGGAAGAGAGGCAGCTCCCTGGTGTGGCCAGGGGAGTCCTAGCTTCGGTCCAGCTGCGGCTCTGACAGTAACTCCCTGTGTGACCTTGAACGAGGCCTGGGCTGAACCTGGGGAGGTGACCTGGGAGGACAGCTCAGGCACGGCCCAGCACAGCCTGGGAGCCACCAGCGGGGCATTTCTGCTGCCCAGCACTGTGTCCCTGGGGTTCACAGGCTTGAGCTGGGCAGGGCCAGCTCTGGAGATAGCTGGTGCTTTTCCTGTCAGGCCGCTTCCCAGCTGTCTGAGAGTGAAGGCACACAGCTCGGGGGGCTCAAGGGTACAACTGGCACCAGCCAGCTCCAGGGGTGGGAAGCCAGGGGGGCCAAGGACTTTGACTGGAAAGCTGGCCCTTCTGCCATCTGAAAGGCAGCACAGGACCCTTAGCAGACTCCTGCCTGGGATCAAATCCCAGCCCTGCCCCGGACTTGCTGTGTGAGTGTGAGTCACTCCCTCACCCTCTCTGTGCCTCCTCCTCTAGGGGCTTATAGGAGCAGGATCAGCATCTCAGAGGGCACATGAGCAACCAACACTCTGACAGCATTAGCCTGGCATGCCCGAGAGCTGCACAGTAATGTCTCTTAAGTAAATGTGCTTCCCTCGGATGGGGACATAAGGAAGCAGAGTCTAGAAAAGCCGAGCCCCAGCTCTGCCTCTAGACAAGACTCCAACTGGGCCGCAGCTGACTCTTCCTGTCCGGCTAATGTGAAGGCTCTCTTTTATTCATTCACTCATTCCACAGATGTTCACTCAGCTCTCCCGGGGACTGGCTGTGTGCCAGGCCTTTCCCCTCTGTGGTACAAGGCCTGGGCCTTGCAGGGGTGAGGAGCCCCTTGGGCTATGCGGCTCCTGCTCGGGGTGCACAGGATGTGCCTATCTGGGGCAGCTTGGGGCAGACGCCTGCCCAGCTCCTCTTCTTGGTATTCTCTTAACAGTCTCCCTGTGCCCTTGGCCCCCGGGGCAGCTGGGAAGGGCAGGACTGGCATAGAGCTCCCCTTGAGCCCCACCTCATCCCACACTGGCTCTCTCCCCAGGTGGCAGCTCCAAGGGCGATGTGGACCCCTTCCACTATGGTGAGTGTCAGGCCCTCTCCCCACCCTCTTGCCCAGCTGAAGTACCTGTGCCCTCCTTCCCTCTCACAGTTTCCATGGGGCTGCTAGGAGCAGGCTTCAGTGAGGGACCATGCCACCCACTTCTCTGGGCCCCTCTCTCCCCAGACTATGAGACCGTCCGAAAGGGAGGCCTGATCTTTGCTGGCCTGGCCTTCGTCGTGGGGCTCATCATCCTTCTCAGTAAGTGGGTGGCTCGGGCTGGAGGAGTGGTGGACAGCTGCATGTCCCTTCTGAGGGGCCCCATGCCACAGACCCATGGGGACATGGGCAGAAGTGCCAGGGAGAGGCCAGCAGAGCTGGCAAGAGGCTGGTGAGCTCTTAGGGTCCTGGGACCTTTCAGGAAGAGGGAAAGGGCAGGTGAGAGTAGGCACCCACCCTGATCTAGGCTCCTTCTTAGGCTTGAGCTCACCTTACCCTAGGTAGCCCTGTGGCTTCACTGGGGGAGGCTGCCATATCAGCGTTTGACAATGAGAAGCCTGGCCTGGCGCAGAGTGGCCACCACCCCTGAGATGCAGGGCCAGGCTCAACTAAGCCCCCTCGAAAGCGAGTCCAGCTGGGATCAGCCCTAGGGCCTCCCTGCTAACTTACCAAGGTCCCTAAACCCTGTGTTCTGGAGTTTGGACATACCCAGGAATTTGTCCCAGTTACTACGAGGACTTTTGACTGTAGGGATGGTCAGTCTCGCCTGTTTTGCTCTCTGAGGGTAGCATTGTGCAGTAGTTGGGCACCTAGAAGCAGGAGACAGACGGACCTACGCAAGGATTTGCGTGTTGACCTTACTGCCACCCTTCTCCACGGATGTACTGAGCGCGTTGTACTGAGCACTGTAGCAGGGGCATCGCAAGGGCCAGTGTCAGCGGCCACTCTGACATTCTACAGTCCGCCTCAGATCCACCCTTACTGACTGACTGACGACTGACTGACGACTGACGGACAATTGACAACTGACAAGACTCTTGAATGCTCACAGCGCTGCACTTTGCAGAGAGAAATGGTCAAATGTGAGCTCCAAGCCCCAGCTAACGGTGATGCTGGCGGGCAGGAGGGAGGAGAGACCAGGAAACTGAGTCTTGTTGGCTCTCCTGGGACAGGCGTGGTCAGTGAAAGCGAAATTTCCTTTCTCTTTTCAAGGCAAACGCTTCCGCTGTGGGGGTGGTAAGAAGCATCGGTAAGTGCTGCCCAGGAAAGCCAGAAGGCTGAGGCGGGAGGCAGGACACTGGGCCACAAGGTAGGATCCCAACCTCTGGGACTCTGGACCTACCTCTGACTCTGCTGTCTTTTTCTTTCATCCTAGGCAAGTCAGTGAAAATGAGCTGTAACACTAGGTACGTTTGCGGGTGCAACTGGTGGGGAGCAAGGTGGGAAGAAAGAATTTGAGGGCTGCCTGTGATTAGCCAGGTGAGAGGTCTGCATCACAAAGTACCCAGTGCAGATGTGGGAAAGCTGCAGGGCACCCCAGAAAGTGTGAGCTAGGCAGGGAGGAAGCCCAATGCCCAAACTCAGCCTCGCCCAGCCCAAGGCCTGCTTTGTCTTTCCAGAGTCAGCTCGGACCTCTGCCCCATCACTGCCACTACCTGAGCTGAAGACAGCGCCAGGCTCCCTGTGACCCCGGGATGGAGCCGCCTCCTGCTGCCTCTGCTTCTCCCATCTGCCTCCCTTCCTCCTCCTGTGTCTGCAGCACCCTCTGAGTACAGATGCAGCCTGGTTTCGTTTGTTTCCTAGTTCATTGCTCCGGCGACGCCTGTCTGTCTATAAATGCAGGCTCAGGGCTGTTGTCCAAGTGTTTCTCCCTACTGGGCCTAGAATGGAGAGACTCCCAGCTACGGAGGTTTGGCCTGGCTTTCAAATGCCTGGTGAAACTCAAAAGTCCACAGTCAAAGTCAGGCCCACTGGTTCTCCTGTGAACTCTGGCTCAGGCTCCATTTCTGCCCTGGGAATCCAGGAGCTCCAGCAGGGACTGACCAAGTTGTGTCCACCTGTGGCCACGTCCATGCGCTTGGCCATCCCTGCTGGGGAACTGTGGGGCCAGGGTGGGTGGCTCTGTGAGGCCTGGACTGAACCTCAGCAGCGCCCTTCCCACTTTACCCCAATCCCACCAATCTGCATCCTAAGAGCAGGCCATCCTCTCTTTGTTCTTGTGGCGAGAGGACCCCAGCTGGACCAACTCCCTCCTATCTAAGTGTCGGCTTTGTCCACCTTGGACTGGACACCGGGAGTGGACGTTGGTGTGAGACCACTGAACCGCTGCTCTAGCACCTGTCCTCCAGGCAGGGCCCCAGAACGCTCTCAGCCCTGGACATGTCAGAGCCCAGCCTCCATCTAGGATCCTCTCTCTAGGTGTCTGTGCTGGAGATAGAGCCCAGCTTCCCTCCCACAAGGCCTCAGGGGGACTGGGGAGCCCGGCACCACCAAGGCTGCTGCCATCTGAGGAGGGGAGGGGCACGGGCAGCGAGGTGCAGCGAACTGCCCTTGGGAGCAAGTTCTTTGTTCTATCCTTTGCCCCCAGGCCCTAAAGACCACCAACCCTGATGAAACTGCAGAGGCTCGAGCAGAATCAGCTCTTAGAGAGCAAAATAGATCGATTGCGTTTATAGAAGGTGAAGCTGAGGCCCCAAGAGGCAGTGACTTGCTGGGGCTGCAGAACCCTTCCCATACGTGGACTCATGGTTGGAGAGGGGGCTCCTCTCAGCCCACCTGTGCTCTTGAGGAGCTGAGGGGAGATCGGGACCATGAGGGGCGCAGCCCAGCTGTTCAGCTCAGCACCAAGGTCTCTGGCAGCTTGCCCTGAAAGTGGGCTCCCTGAATACAGCATGGCAATTGCAACTTAAACAGAATTTGGTGTTGTGGATGGGAGAGGGCCACGAGCTTGGGAGACACAGAAAGGAATGAGCAGCACCAGCTGGGGGAAGGGAGGGCTCCTAAAGCTTCCCGGAGGAGGAAACAGTAAGTACTGAAAGTAGGGGTCATATTTCTAGAACATTCTAGGCATGGATCCTTTGAGCCTGTCCCACTGAGAAGGAATCTCAGTGTGCTGTGAGTCACAACCTCTCTCTCAGCCTGCTGAAAGGCCTCCCTCCTTGTCCTTTAAACCCCAGAAGCCCAAGGTCCCCTCCCAGCCAGCCTGTGGGACATGGGCCTGGGGGTGGCTCACAAAGAACAGGGCTGAATCAGCCCGCAGGGGACACTGCAGAGCAGTCAAGGCCAGGAATCCCCATTCCAGAGGCCATTCCTAGTCTGTGACAGGCAACCCGGTTGGCAGCTGGTGAATGTTTCTCTTCCCTCCCTGGGAAGTCACATGGACTGGGAATCTCTGGAATTTTAGTTCACTCCAGGATTTTCCAGAATTCGAACCTGTGCAGAGTCACAAGGAACAACTAAATTTGGGGAGTGAATGGACGAATTTTCCAAAAATCAACTCAGGCCCTTACTGAAGCGCAATTCCCCTTATCGCCACCAGAGAGAGCGTGTGGCTTACTTCAAATCTGCTTCAATGCTGGTTTTCAAGGCAGCCTTTCCCAAAGCTTTTGCTGGGCAGGAGAGGCCAGAAGGCTCTGCCCCACGCCCAATGTCCTGGGAGAGCCCGGCGCTCTTCTCATTCTGCTTGTCTGCACCCCCGGAGCAGCGCTTGCCCAGCTCTGGGGTAATGCTCGGCCGTGGGGCCCTGAGTCCTACTTGTTCCTGAGGTAGAAACCATAAGTGGTCTCCACACTTCCACCTGAGGTCTGGGGCAACGCGAAGCCCAGAAGCCCACAGACTGAGTCAGTATTGTGAGCAGGACCCTGGGAAGGGCAGAGTGTGGAGCAGGGCAGGAGCGTGGTGGGAAGGGAGAGTGGGGCCGCCTGAGTGGCTCCTCAGCACTGGCTGTAGATTTAGATGCAATCCATGGGACACCGTGGTTTTTCAGACCTCCCTGGGGGATTCCACTGTAGAGCCAGAGCTGACAGGCACTCAGCTGGTGGGCAGGGTCAGACAAGGTGAGAGGAATGTAGGGAGGGAAGGCGGAGGAGTCCAGAGGAAACTCCAGGCCCCAAGTCTCAGAAGGGTGGGGAGCTCCCTGCGGTGATTTTCAGGGCAGCAAAGGCCGGAAGGCACTAGCCTTGGCCAGTGGGGACCTGCTGGTCCTCCTGTTCCTCACGGCAGCCTTGGACAGCAGAGGTGGGAGCGGGAGGCCAGCTGTGGGCCTGTTGCCCTGGCCCAAGCTCAAGTGCCACTGCCCCTGTCAGCGAGCCTCACGTCTGCATGGGTCTGGCCTGGTGGGCAGGAGCAGGGCCCTCTCCTGATGAGTCTTGGCTTCCCATAGAGGTACCAGAGTTTGGGACTGGGGCTGCTCCCCTGTCCAGAGCAAGGTGTCTCTGCGTGGGCCTCTAATTTTTCTCAGTGCTTTGGCCCTCAGAGTCCCTACTCCAGCAATCCTGACCGCTCCTCAGTTGCGCAAGGAAGGGGTGCACCAAAAAACTAACCTTGAGCAGCCCGGCTGGGGCTAACTCTGGCAGAGGAGTGGAGTTTCCCCGGGAGAGGAGGCTGCCTGGGCAGAGGGGACACTCTCTTCCCTCCTTCCTCCTCCTCCTCACTCTGGGCTATGGGCATCTTCTGAACACCTCCCTGTTTATCCATATCCGGCCCCACCTCAGCTCTGGCCTCTGGTGGTTGGGGGGTGACCTGCTGCTTTCCACAGGCCCGTCCTTCATCAGCCACCTGACAGCACCTGGCCAGGTCAGAGCGGAGAACCAAGCTATGGCCACTCGCACCAGAAGATGGATCAGGCCAGAGCTCAGCGCCAGAGCCACAGCAGCCATGGCCAGGGCCGTTAGGGGGCAGCACTGAGCCCAGGCCAAGCAGGGAGAGCGCAGCCTGTACCCAGGCCTCAGCCTAGGAAAGAAACCTCTGGAATCAGAGACGTGTTCCCTCTGGGGCTCCAGCTGCAGAGGAACATCCCAGACCTGGGACCCCGAATGATATCCCTCCCAACCCCAGGAGGCCCACATTGCAGCTGGCTGCTGTTTGTGTCTAGCCTCCAAGCTTTAGTTCCTTCTCAAGAGACTCTCAGTGTGGCCTCCCCAGGGACTTCTTTGCGTCACCTGGAGGGATGCCCCAGGTGAGCACAGCAGGAGGGAGGGAGAGGACAGGAAGTTTGGAGCAAGGGCAGAGGATTGTGGCCCCAGACCACCAGCTGTGGCTCAGCACAGACCACCTGGCGGGGGGGGGGGGGGGGGGAAACCAGCTGTCCTGGGAGCTTTGTCCTGGCTGTGTGACCTTGGAAAGTCCTTGTCTGTCTCTGGACTTGACTGTGGGAAAAGCAGGTACGAGATAAACATTCGAAGTTCCAGCTCAGACGTCAAGGGGCTGTGACTTTCTAAGAGGCAGAGGTGAGAGGGAGCTTGGTAACTTCCCCCGTGATTCCTTCCAGTCCTCTGGAGACCTGCTGAGAGAACAGCAGGGTCCACACACTCACAAACACACACCTGCTTCCTCCTCCTAGGAAAGCAGGGGCCTGCCCAGCGGGTGAAGAGGGCAGAGAAAAGCCACAGCAGAGATAGGCTGGCGAGGCCCAGAGCCAGGTGGAGATTCCCTCAGGGTCTTTCTTTTCTGGAAGACCTGTCGGTTACTTGGTCAGTAACCGAGTGCGTGCCAAATGCCGCCCAGCCAGCCCCTGGTGCGCTCAGCTCAGAAGGAAATGTGATTCCAGGACTCCTGTCTGCTGACCAGGTGCTGTCTGTGAAGCTAATAAGCTCATTCAGGGGTGGCCTGAGCCCTGAGACACCCACCTGAAGGGCAGGAGAGGGAGGTAGGGCTGGGACACTGCAGGAGGAGGCATCTAGGCCCATCCCCAGGTCCCCAGGGACTGGCAGGAAGGCCCAAGACTCCTGGGGTGCGGCCATCCCTCCCCCTGGACCCACTGCCTGGGAGCTACCTGGGGCAGGAGTGGCAGCTGATGGTTCGCCCCAGCCCCCAGTGCCCAGGCCTGTTCTGGGCATGTAGTATGTGTTCTGTCAATGGCTTTTGAATCCACCTGTGATGGGCTGGCTGGAGGGATGAATGAATGAGCGCTGTGTTGGAAGAGGAGCGTTGCTGGTGCTGGCCCCAGGGCTGGAGTGGGCAGTGCATCTGCTGATGAGGTGGGGAGCCTTGGAGCCCTTCTGGGGACAGCCATCATGTCACCTCCGGCACCACAGTGAGGGCCACAGACCTGGGAAGCTAGTCAATCATGAACTATGTGATGATGGCCAGGCTCCCTGAGCCAAGCAACCTCATCTCCGGCTCTCGGGGGACAGTGGCTGTAACAGCCATTTTCTTTTGGACCCTTTGCAGCACTGACACTGTGCAGCTCACTTTCCTGGGCCCTGCCAGGCCAGTCATCGAGGACTTTTTGCTAGATGCTTCAGTGTTCAGGAAAGCTCTGTCCACACATTCTTCTCAGGACCCAGTGGTTGGTGGTCAGAGGCCCCTAGGTCCACCCTCAGGGGGCCAGGACCTGGGGACAGACTCAGGTCCCAGCTCCATACTCCTCACTCTTGGCCTGGCTGAGGGGTGGGTCTCCACTTCCTGCACGCTCTGCTGGCTGGGCTGGAGTTCCCCAGTTCCTTTGACACTGGGAGAGCAGTCCGTGGCTGCTACGCTGGGACCAGGGCGATCGTGGAGTTTCTTGGTAGTACATGCGGGTATCCTGGGTGTGCTTGAGTTTGTTACTATCTATACTGAGGCTGGGGAG